CTACCTCAGGTCCTTAATATAAGACCCTATTTGACTTTTATTTTGGTCTTAAATATAAGACTCCAATCCATTTTGTCTCTCATATTTACTCAATTTTTTCCAAGATAATCCTTTTAATAATTATAGTTCTAGTTAATATACTTGATTAGCAAGGATATTTTAGAAAAGACAACACCTATTTAGGACAAATAACTAACTCAACTTACTTCCTTAATCTCCTTAAATTAGTCAACTGGCTCTTATAATTAGGACCGGAGGTAGTATAATAGTAGGAGCAAATTAGTTAAGGTTGGATTTTTATGGAAAAATTGTTGAGGGCATGTTGGAGCAGTGGATCGGATGAGACAGACGAGTCGGATCGTTAGAAGGGTCCTAATCATGTGATGACAGCAACTACAAAGAAACTAGGATTCTCAAAATTAATATGTATTTTAATTTAAGTCCATGTTCATCTGGAACATCATATTATTTTATTCACCACCTGGAATGTTAATTAATTTATATATGCCCAACCAACATCTTGGAACAAGATCATATTTGATTGGAATAATCATCAAGACTATCCCTCAACTTGAGTTTTGCCAGACTGTTCATTTGGTGTAATCCCTATTATCCTATTAATTATTAATTAATACTCATTTGGTCCGGAACAAAGAGAGAGCAGAGAGTATATATTTATTAATTAATAATTACTTATTTATAGGGTAGAGAGCAAAGAGTTTTTTTATATTCTTAAATCTTAATATAAGTTGCCTCATTAAATTTATTATATGAATGTGTAATTTTACCTTTTATTTATTGTTCTATATACTTTTATTTTCTTAAAAAGGAGTATACATATTTAAATTGGGGCGAAGTGAGAGAGTTATTAAATTATAAGATACAAATAGTAAAGTTTAATTTGTGTGTTTTTGATTATGATGAAATGTACTGAAAATATCTTATAAAAATAGGAAGGCCTTGGTAATAATAAACAAAGTCCATGAAGAAACGGGGATATGAGTAGTGGGGTGAAATGAGAGCCCATGAAACTCAGGGCAGATCAAAGCCCATTTAATTGGGCTCAAGGCCCAGAACAAGCTCACACAAACACACACAAACGGGTGGGTTTTAATGATAAATGAAGTTAAGAGAGAAGGGTGGGAGCATTTGCATATGCCCTGATAGTGATGTTGAGCTTACTGTATATATATGGATGAATATGGGTAAAGAGAGGGGAGAAAGAAGCAGTGGACCCATGCCAGTTGGTATTTCTGAATTTGCAACTCACACACCAAACTTCTTTAAATCACCAAACCTACCTATCTTTATATATCATCACCCCTTTTTAGTCTCTGTCCACATTTTATTTCAGCAGCTATTTAATTAATTTAAGTAGATAAAAAAACTAAATAAATTACTTAATTTAAACAAATGTAACATGATCTTTCTAAACTATCTTTAGGTAATACAGTATTACATTATATATCGGTTTATAAATCAGATAAATTAGTTTATGAAAAAACAATAAATATAAGAGATAAAATGAATTAATGTTTTATGTGTAGGATGAAAAAACCAACTTTGTAATTATCATAAGTCCACAGGCTTCTCCATATTTTAATTTAGATAAGCTTCATTAATCCATTTAACGTAACCCATATACTGAATGAAAAATGATCTTGTTTATTTTCAATATCTATCCCTTATCAATAATTTCAAACCCAGAGAATGAGGCCTATAGCCACATGGTATCTGGCAGGAAGTTATTAGAGATATATGGGATTCAACTTCTCTTTACTGATAAATTTTTAACAGACAAGAAGAACAAATAAGAGTGAAACCTTAGATAGATACATGGAAGCCACCGAACTAATAAGAGTAAAACCTTAGATAGTGGTGGATGCATGCAGCTTCCATCATTTGTCTGTTTCGGTCGGGTCCCTTCAACTCTCACCTCCATGCATCTAGCCATCTTCCTTCCCTTTCAAATCTATCCTTTTCAAAACATTATTACACACACACACACACACACACACACACTTTCTTGAAAGACATTCATCAAACCAACTAAAAGTGAACATACATCGGTAATGAACTCATAATACTCCTCCGGTCATTAATATAAAACCCATTTAGCTAATTTGATTAGATTAAGGAAGTTAGGTAAGTTAGTTAATTATAAGAAAAGTGACACATTTTTCCTAAAATACCATAATCATCTTTCTTAATACCATCTCTCCTTCTTTTATTTGATTATGGTTGAGGGAGTATCTATAGGGGTAATTTAGAGAAAATTGATAAATATAAGAAATGGGTCTTATATTTAGGACCAAAACTAACTCAACAATTGGGTCCTATATTAAGGACCAGAGGAGTATAATAACATAGAAAAGTTATGGGTTTGATTCCGCCTGCAATCTTTATTATTTATGATAATTACATTCTAGAATGTTTTATGTTTAATTCCGAGGGTTAGAGTTGAGGCTATAAATAGCCTTGAATACATTTCATTTTGCACGTTTTATGATTTGAATAAACAGATTATTAAATCTCTCTCTCTTTTCTGAATTCTTTTCCCCTTTTATTTGTGTGGTATCCCTCCTCTCTTGTTGTCCTCCCGCCTTTAATCTCTCTCTCTCTCCTTTCTCTTTCTCCCCTTCCCCGTCTTGCATTACCATTAGTGCCTGCATTTTTAAATATAGAAAAACATGCACACTTAACATCAACTTCGACTAAAATTGCCTGTCTAATATTTAGGAATTTTTAGAAAGATAATGAAGAATAACGAACAAGTATGTGAGGCGTGTATGGGTGTTATATATTGATGAGGTTTGACGGTGGTTGTGTGGGGTTTATTTTGCTGTGAATGTGATTGATAGGAACAGGAATGTTGAAACTACATGTACACGAGGGGCTTTTTAATGCCTCAACAGTTGGATCCAACTGTTTCTCTTAATTGCCTTGTCTGTCAATTATTAGACTGTATCCGATATTTAATATAAGAGCTATTTTTTTATCTTATTTATAAAGTACTTTTAACATATTTTATACAGACCAAGAAAAATCTTTAACTGTATTAACTCTTCATTAAAATATAATAACTTTCCAACTTTACCCTTATTTAATATATACATTTATTTTTTTTAAAAAGAACTATCTATACTATAATAAATGAAGGATAAAATAATATATTCATGCTAAAACTTTAATGAAGTGATTTATAAATAGGACCAAGAAAAACTTCCGCTCTCTACCTTCTAAACAGGACTAAAGGAATACTTAATTGATCCGAATAGATTAAGAAAATTAAGTTTATTATTTATAATAAATATGACTTAATTTTCTTAAACTATCATTTTTAATCATGACTACTCTTATATAGAAACCCAGCCCCTTAATATATGTTACCAATTTGGATACTTTAAAGAATGAACTACACATTTGAGAAATAACATAGATTGATGTCTTATATTTATGACTAAATTTAATCTTTAACTAGTTTTTATATTAAAGACGAAAGGTAGCATATAGCATCTTGCCTTATGTTAAGCATTTGAGTTTTTTTTTCTTTTTACATGCACACATCACCTAGCGTAAACTTGTCTAATCTGTTTAGAATGTTTTATAGGCAGTTTTTTTTATCGTAATTTACGAAATACGAGATAAGTATGTGAGAAAAATTTTATCTCAGCTTACATGAAACATATTTAAAAATAGTTATATAAGCAAATCCATATGGGCGCTAAATCTGGGGGATGTGCATGGGGCTTCTATTCTAAAGTGAAATGCACTGAATAACATTAAAGTTATTGTTTAATTTGGTGTAAGGAGAAACATTTGCAAGGGCTCCACTACAATCATGTTGATTTCGATGTGAATGATTCAATTGTACGAGTCTTGAATTTCTTCCACATATATCTCTATGTGGCCCCTTCATTATTTAATTCATACACGTACCAGACCAAATCATTGGCTGCAAAATATTTTCCACTCTCTCTTTGTGCTTCCTCTATATTCCTGACCGAGGAAATGCACACAGTTGATTTTGTATTTGAATTAACTATTTTTTCAAATGATTTTGCCGTGTTTGAAATAAATATGTGAGAGAAATTTAATTTTGATTTGCGTAAAAGTAATTTTTTAAGAGTTTTTAAAGGTTCAATTCCCAAACTCCCCTACTAGATATTACTACTTTTGATTTTATAGATATTAAGAAAATTAGTTAAATTAATTATTTGCAATATATATGTATTAGTTTCTTTAAAATATCTTATTTAGTAATATGATGTACAAGAGTGTGATATCAACAAAAAACTAATAAACTAACCCATATCACATTGGGAAACTGTACGTCGTTCGTTCATGATTATGATGGACAAGAGTCCTAATATTATTTTTAGGACCCAACCTAAGAATTCATTCTTAATGAAAAAAGAATATTGAAAGCAACGGATTTATCTCTTTCACTCATTTCCAGACTACCGTTGGCATCAAAGAGGCAACACGTACTGGACAAAACAATGAGAACATCGATCCTTCATATTCCAAAACTGAAGTCCTAGTTAAACCTTTTAGATTATACATACCTAAAACATCCCATCCAATTAAAGAATATTTTAATTTAAATAATAATTTAATTAACAATGTGATGATAAATATTTGAGGGTTCCATTTTGTTTTGTTGCTTTCAAAATAATACTGTGACAAAATTTTGGGGGTATCTACGTACTGGGTATTCCCATGTTTGGTTTGCACATAAATTCGGCCGAGAGGCTTAATAACAATGATCAATACTTTATTATCCTTTAATTTGGATGTTTAACTTAATTTGTCATCTGGAAGAAAATCCACACAGTCCGATCTCCAATCTCATGGTCGAACCAATCTCCACCGTCTATGCATTCTTTGACCTGTCCCTCCCTCTTATAGTCCTATAAATACATCCAATTAAGCACTTGACCAGCATGCCCATGCACTAAGAAAGAGTAAGCGACTTCCCAATAATCACAGCCCAAGAAATGCCAGCCGACGGCGATGTGGAGCTGACCACTCCGGTGAAGGCAGCCCCGGAGATGAACCAGAGGTTAGACGTGGCGGTGCAGAACAGGGCAACGGTGGAGGCACTGTACAAGGCGTTGTTGGGACAGGGGCACATGGACAAAGTGGCCAAGTTGATAGCAAATGACCTGGAGTATTGGTTCCATGGTCCACCGGGGAGACAGCACATGATGAGGATTCTGACCGGTGAGACGGCACCGAACAAAGCCGGCTTCCAGTTCGAGCCGAGGAGCGTGACGGCCATCGGCGACTGCGTTATCACGGAGGGCTGGGAGGGACAGGCGTATTGGGTGCACGTTTGGACGTTGAAGAATGGGTTGATCACAAAGTTCAGAGAGTACTTCAACACTTGGCTGGTCGTGAGGGACCTGAGGGAAACTCCGGCGGCACCGGTGGCGTGGGTGGAAGAAGATCAAAAGCAGGTGGAGAAGATAACGTTGTGGCAGAGTCAGCCTCGTGATCTCTACCGCCGATCACTTCCGGGATTACTCTTGGCCATTTAGCCACAATAATATCATCATTTTGATCTTTTTATAAACCAAAAAGTGTACTTAGCATTTAATAACACGTTCATTTTCAAAAACTCAACAAATAGCGTCAAGCATTGTGAGTTCGGTACTGTATTTGGAATGTGTGGGTCAAATCGTCAAGTGCTCCGAAAAATAAATTTGAGAGAAAACAATAATAATGACTGTGTCAGAAAAAGAGAGAGAAAAACTATGAAGAATAAAGAAGCTTGAAGAAGCATATGCCGTAGTATATACATGGAATATATATTCTTGTGTTTTTAATATTTAATTTGCCTTCTTTTCTTTGTGTCTTGCTTCTTTTTTGGAAGGGCCTTTCTTGTATTATTGTGGAAAAAGTGAAGTCATTTATCGCGAATTAACTTTCTTAGTTTAGAAGATCCATCATCCCACTTGATTCACCCTCTCTGTTACAAGGGGATTGACCCCAAAAGAGGAAATAGATTCTTATAAATTCATATTTGAAACATGTTAAAAGTAAAATGTAGAGGTTTCATAGAGTTTGACTTAAAAGTATATGTGTATATTGAAAAAGGAAAAAAAAAAAAAAAACATAACACCCAAGCATTCATGACTTAGTGGTAAGAAGCTCGGTTTTGTTGGTTAAATATTATAGATTTGATCTCACTTGCAACTGTTTAGCTTGCTTTTTATGCTAATGATAATAATAAAGAACTTTATTAAAAAATCAATAAAACTTTTGGGTGGGTTGAGGATGTTCGCAGCGTGTAATATAGTGAGAAGCTTGGCCATATGACTCTATAATGAATAATTAAATAAATAGTATGTCAGCGTCTACAGACACACACATATGGAATAAATCATTTATACTTGTACTACTCCTATTCTTAATACCTCCGGTCCTTATTATAAGACCCAATTTGACTTTCTATTGGTCCTAATTATAAGACCCAATCCATTTTGTCTCTTATATTTATGCATTTTTTTCCAAGATAATCCTTCTAATAATGATAGTTTTAGCCAATATACTTAATTATCAAGGATATTTTAGGAATGACAACACTTATTTATTATAAATAACCAACTTAACTTACTTCCTTAATCTCCTCAAATAAGTCAATTGGGTCTTATAATTAGGACCGGAGGAGTATAAAAGTTAGTTGACTAATTTGAGTAGATTAAGAAAATTAGTTAAGTTATTTATTTGTAATAAATAAGTACTACCTCCGGTTCTTAATATGAGATCTTGTTTGACTTTTATTTTAGTTTTAAATATAAGACCCCAATCAACTTTGTTTCTCATATTTATGCTTTTTTTTTTCAAGATAGTCCTCCTAACAATAGTAGTTATAACCAATACACTTAATTAGCAAGAATATTTTAGGAAAGACAACATATATTTATTACAAATAACTAATTTAACTTCTTTCCTTAATCTCCTCAAACTAGTCAACTAGCTCTTATAATTAGGACCAGAGGTAGTATTATTATTTTTTTTTTTTCTAAAATACCCTTGCTAATCATACGTCATTTGGTAAAACATTTAACATATGCAATTACTATAAGGATTATCTTAAAAAATAAATAAATATGAGAGACAAAATAGATCAGGATCTTATATTTAAGATCAAATTGAGAGTTAAACTAGCTCTTATATTAAGGACCAGAGATACTCCCATTAACCAAGGTCAGGGGTTCGATTCTTGCTTGGGCATGGAAAACGTTAAATCTCCTGACCAGCTATTCCACCCTTCGAAGTACCTACAAATTAGTGAATCTAGATCAGTCTGGGCCGTTGATGTACCTGAAAGATGGTCTGCCTAGGATACCGGTTGAGATCACTCAAAAAAAGAGAGACTGGAGATAGTATTTAATCAAGAATTAAGGCATAAATCTGTCTGTTCATACTGCCGCTATAATAATATTACAATGCCACGGCTGTTTATTTAAGCTAATGTTCGTTACTTTTAATGGTGAGCCTCACGTTCATTTATATTTATAAATTAACGGGTGTTTGCTTAAATTAACCTTCGTAGCATTTTTGCGTCATTTTAGAATCTTAGAGTATTTTTGCACCTAAATGAATATTATGGTGTTAGATGTGTGCTCGGCCCTTAATTTAACTGCCAAGTAAGCATAAATAAAACAAAACAATTAATCAAGCAAGTAGCGAGCTAGGGATTTTAACATTTTGCTAAAAAAAAAGAGATTCTAATAAAAAAGGTATATTTCTTAAGACGGCCACAAGAACAACCCTCCCAATTAACAAGAGGCTAAGCATATCCTATTCCTATTCTCTGTTTGTTTTCAACACACGCAATGTTATAATTGGGCGTATGTGATGAACTGATGATATATCTTAAACTCGAATCTTGGTTCCGTAAGCTTCAAGGTTGTTGTCGTTGACCATAAATTGACAATTTATCAATATTATATTAATATATTAAATGTTAAATAAACCATGAACCTTAAGCTACTTGTTCTTTTAGATTTAATATTACACATAAAAAAATGCAGTTTTTTTTGCCTGAAATAAAATAAAAAAAAAAATGCGGTTAACCATTTGAATTCTACAATAGCTTAAAAGCATCCATAAAATTATTTAACTAACATCGCAAGTGGAGGATGAACAACTAATTTCTTAAACAAGCCATGCAAGTTTTGGTTCATTAACGTTCTTACAGGTGTCCGCGAAGGACTAGATTTAGGACATGCTTGAAATTTAGGATGAAAGAGACATATAAAGGAAGAATTTTAAAGGCTAAGTGAAAAATCGCCTTCATTATCCCTTCTTATTTGTCGACTTCCAAATAAAGGGAAAAAAAACCACGACCAAATCTTCCCTCCCCTGGTAACATCACGAGCATACCTTGAAGCTTTTAGGTATTTGTTTAGTGTCCTCTTAATAAAATATTCTTCTGATTCTTAATTCTAGTCCTTAATGTACGATCTGATTATTCAGTTGATTTTAGTTCTAAATGTAAGATTTATTTTTCATATTTATCAATTTTTTTAAACTACCTTTATTAATACTCTTTTAACTATAATTAAATAGAAGAGAGAAAGAGGATATTAAGAAAGATGATTATAATATTTTTGAAAAAAAATTTCGATTAACTAACCTACCTAACTTTTTTAATCTAATTAAATTACTTAAACAGGTTTTATGTTAAGGACCTTGTACAATTTTTCACAACCCTTAATGCTGTATTATTGACTTCATAATATAATTATATAGAAAAACCGCCAACATTCCAGTTCAAGACGGGCGCCAGTTAGGCAGTTATAGCCCATGAATCAAACCACCGTCATGGATTTTATAATTTTTACAAAATAACATCAACATTCACTAAACCACCATTGTTGAAGGCTAGAATAATTATCTGTACCACACAATACACACAGTAACAGTTACCAAGCATTTTGACAAGAACTGTGCAGAAATTCTCATGTGGAGGACCTTTCAGATGCCAAATCAAGTAGCTTGCGGAAGAACTGGTGAGGATACATAGGTGGGTTCTCTGCTAGAGCCTGAGATAAGCATTGAAAGACAAAGTCAGCTAGAATCATCAGACGAATTGGACTAATTGGTTATTAGTTATGTTCCAGTTCTTGATTTAAAATGTCTGTGTGTTTACATATAGATCCCTTTTGTTGGATTTCATTTATTTCCTTCCGTTTGACACAAGGTTTCTTCCTCCACACACAGAAATTTCAAGTCTTTCAGATATCAAAACTGTGGTTTCACACTTCATCTCCCTCAAGCCATTAGGTGGGGCAAGACATAAAAATCTACCCAAAACCAGAAGAAAATCGCTCAAATTTATGTCAATGGCCTTTACGATTTACCGACTGATTTTAAATGCAGTGTGGAATGATGGCCCCATTCAACTTTCAGATGCACCAAAGTACGTAACTGGCGAATGCCTGATCCTTGAAAATTGAAATATTGCTTGAAAGATTAAGAAAGCAAAAGAATTTTATAAGTGCAGGAACTGACCTGATGAATCAGAACAGTGGAAGGTGTCATTCCAGGCACAGTATTCACCTCTATGATTAAAACCTACAAGTCATGAAATGATGGAGGAGTAAGAAAAATAAGTTGCAAGACAAAAATGACTCCTTGATGTCAACAGAAATCTGTGAGTTCAGCATAAACATTAATAGCTCCTTCATTACATATCAAGGGGCATATCTGATCTAAGCTTGAGGAGGAATCAATGATATATCAATGGAAATGAGGGAAATGAGAAAATATGCCCCAAGGAGGAGATCAACAAACCTCTCCACTGTCAACATTGACAAATGCATCAATGCGCGAAAATCCTTCTAATTGTAGGGTGTTTGCAATGAGTTCAATATTCTGCTTGCAGGTTCTCAAAGCCGCTTCACTATTACAGAGAAGAAAGAAGATATTATTCAAGAAACCATTGATAAATTCAATTATCCAGGTAAAACTAGAATTTTCAGTTCATCAATGTGTGATATGCAAGGGAGATGTTAAACCAGCTTATAGAATATTAGATATCAGTATTTATTAGATTTGGAATTGAAACTATTTCCAAATATCAATATACCTGCCACAGACATTTTATGGAATTATAAATTTTTTTGGGCCAATTTTAAGGAATTATAAATAGTTCTTAGGTTTAAGATATCAACCCTGATTGCAGATTTAAGGAATTATTCAGGAGCATAATGATTCCAAGTTTATACCTACTTGTAACCAGGAAAAGGCTTTACTCTGTTAAGTATGGCAATCGAATGCCAATAAAAAAATTAGTGATGGTCTTCAAAGACTAAGGTAAACAAGAGATTCCAAGACATTAAGAGATGTAGTCATGAAAATGATCACGTAAACAAAGTAACAAGTACCTCATGATTGACAAGGGAGGTGGAGTCAGATTGATGCCTGTCCCACCTGACAGACAATATTCCAAGTGACGATTACAGATAAGCCATTGTGAAGAGTAGCAGTCAAAATAAAGGAAAACAAAATAAGAAATAAAGACAGATAAGTGGAATCCCAACCGTAATACCCCAAAAACCAAATAGATTCCCAACATAAGAGAAAGAGTAGGGAAAAAACGAGCAGGTAAAGGACAAAGTGATATTTAGGTCATTTAAAGTGATTTGATGTTTACTTTTTATATACTATCTCCGGTCCTTAATATAAGACCTTGTTTGACTTTTATTTTGGTCCTAAATATAAGACCCCAATCCACTTTGTCTCTCATGTTTATGCATTTTTGTTCAAAGTAATCCTTCTAACAATGATATTTCTATCCAATATATTTGATTAGCAAGGATATTTTAAGAAAGACAATACATATTATTATAAATAACTGATTTAACTTCTTTCCTTAATTTCTTCAAATTAGTCAACTAGCTCTTATAATTAGGACCGAAGGTAATATTTCTCAGCTCCAATATTACATCAGAGCATGAGGGGTAATGTTTATCATTATGCTATAGTTTCTGATGTGCAAGCATTAGAATCTTTTCCCTTTTTCTTTTTTTTTTGGGGGGGGACCAACCTTGGAATTTTTCCTCTAGTGACAAAATGTCACCAGTTTCCTTAACAGTGACACTAGGACTAAGAGAGTGCATAGAGCCACGTTTGCCTATAACACCAACAGTTACTTCCACCCATCTACTGTCCCCTTTCCACATGAGGTTGCGCCCAGTCCCATTCTTATCTTTGGATGTGACAACTATTTCATCAGTCTCTATGAAAGGTTCAAGATCAAAACCTCTGGAGGAGGATTTGGCATCTCAATCATGCCATGTGCCTGAGCACCGAGAAAAAAACGAGAGATAAGATGTCATGTAAAAAAAAAAATAAAAATGAAGAGTTCTCATTCGTATAAATAAACTTTCAGGTGAGCTTTGAGAATAGGAAGGAAGAAAAATGATCTCATAGCACGTGTGCATCATTAATTCGTTATTTTACTATCCCTTTTCTCCTCAGATGCCTTATAAAGTGAGAACCTATATAACTGGATTTCATTATTCCTAGTGCCATACCTTTGATAAGCTATTAGCAGGAATCCTTAGAAGACAGTCCTCTACTGCTTTTAGATATATCGAAAGATCCTTGGAACAACTGTATGAACAAAAGAATGTGAAGAACAATAATTGCTTTTTAAGCAAGGAATCAGAGGATGTACTGGAAACGTATAAATCACTGAATAATATGAAAACGAGCCACTAACAAGACATGCAATCTACCATAATCTGGCAACCCCAGTTGAGCAACCATCTTTTGCTGGCTTGACACACAGAGTTTCACACTGCAGCTTTGAGGTCAGCTCACACCATATATCATCTTTAGGCTTATTAAGAAGTTCAGATGTTCCCCGCAACTTCCTTATTTATGGTAAGAACTCCTAAATT